AATCTACCTTTTAACTCCCAGTGCCAGGAAAACTGGTTGAGGCCCCAAAGAGTGATCTTGGATTGGCACAGTGGAGAAGAACTGGTGGCTTTTCCTCTTCATAGGCTCTGTTGGTCTGCACACTTTGACAATATCCATGCCTGGGGGCAGCCTTGACTCCAGGGCTCCTCTGCTCCTTGCCTGTCACTGTAAATATCAGCCAGCAAACCCCAAACTCCCCTGTGCTCCTTCTGCCTGCCTCCCACCCTCCTCCCTTGGATCAGTTTGGCAGCATCAAGTGAGACATGTAGCCAGGCTTTGGGTTTAACTCGATTGCTGCAGCAGAGTGGGAAATATGCAGATGAAAGGAAGTCATAACAGGAAGTAATTTCCTTTTACTAGGGCACGAGCCTCCACGCTGCTGACCTGGCTGGCTAACTCCCATCTCCAGGCTGTTCAACAGCTCATGTCCCCAGGGCAATCATTTGAACCAACTGGGAAGGCTCCCAGATTGAGTGGCTTCCATGTCTAAGAGGGAAAGCTTTCATTTGGCCTATTTTGTTCCCCCAGTAAGCCATCCTCATGAGAAAATCTGCTATAAATATTCATCTGTTGAGAACCAACAAATTCAACTTCTCCACAACCTGTTTTCCTCTAAAATGGAGAAAAATCAACCCCTACTAATCTAGTTCAATCTGTTTTATGTTTGTACTAACCCTCTACTGAGAGAGCTCAAACTCCAAAGCAGAACTGGCCCTTCCCAGTCTAGAAGGGAATAACAAAATATCCAGGAAAAGCCTCTTCACAACTTCCCAGTTCCAGTCATGAAAAAGTAACTCACAAAATGATCATTATCCTCTAGAATGTATTGCTGCTTTTAAAACAGCCACTTGGAATTAAGGCAAGTGCACCTCTAGGTCTGTTTCACATGCCTGACAAAACACACAAGAAAACAAAATCTTATGTGCCACTAGGTTAGGAAATAAACCCTATCCTGTGTTTAACTCCTGTAGTATGGCAATTTTCTAAAGGAAATTACTCCTCACTGAATGTGCTAATTCTCATTAAATTTCAATTTGTTTGATGCCAGCAGATCAAGCATTAAAAAAAAAGTAAGAGGAAAAATGCTGCAGTAGAAAAATGATGGCTGGGAACAGCAGAAGTATCATAACAAGCACTTCACAGCTCTCATTTCAACCCAAAATAGTATTTTCTTACAATTTTCAGTTTCCCCTACTCTGTTTTTAGTCATTCTTTGAACACTAACCCTCACTGTTGCCTTGGGAATTTGGGCCAAATAAGGAATGAACAAACCATGGACAAGGATACGCCCAAGCAGTCTTTAAAAAGCTTACCAAGTCCAAAATGCCAAAGGAATATTGAACATGGAGAGGTTTTTAAAGAGTGACAAGTCCAAAGTGCTGATCTACAGCAGTGCAGGGTCTTTTCTGCTTCAGGAAGAGGAAAGAACCACAGTGAATCCAAGGAAACTGCTGCTGACGACTCCTAAATAACAGCAGCCATTAGTGAGCAGCTCACTGCCTTCATTGAAGGTGGTCTGATGGTGGCAAAACAATTACAAGAGAAGGAAAACCTATTCCTGGACACATTACAGTCTGTTAGAAACCTGCCATTACCCTCCACTGATGGACTTTGCATCAGCCCTGAAGTATCTGAGACATGTGGACATCATGCCCGTTTCCTACAACTTACACATTTTTCAAGATTTAAAGCACCATAGTCTCAAAACCTTAACTCAGTGTGTAATGGGTTTAACATATATTTTACATCTTAATTTGCCATAATAATGTGGCTATAAGCTGCTGTCATTCACTCCCTTTTTCTGACCTTGGAAATAAAATGTTTAATCTCCACGGGATTTTCCTGGCGAGATGTTTTAAATCAGTGCATATGTACATACTTCTCTATATGCTTTTTCAATTTTCCTAAAATATTCTCATATGTGCAGACATGATGACTAGACATGTTTCAGTGGTGCTTGAAACTTGATACAAGTGGGTAATTTAACCATGTAATTGAACAATATTACAGAAACACACGGAGTTTCCTAGCAACAAAAGGCCTTGGACATCAAGATGGCAGCCAGCAGCTAACATTGCAATTGCCTGACCTAACTTGAAAAGAAATTACACTGAAGAATGTCCTTCTTCCTCCCAAAGCAGAGCTGGTACATGGCTACAGGTCTGACCTCCAAGGGGTTTGCTTACAGGCCTTACTCATACACAAGGTCACAAATGTCCCATGAGAAAGAAGTGTTCCCTAAATGTCCTATTTTCCAGACTGAAGAATAATGGTTTTGAAAAAAACTCGGAACCCTCAAGTTTACCCCTATGGAAAATAAAAGGCTTCCTAACATGAAGTAGCTGATTACAGCTGAGCTTGTGGATGGAGACCTCCCTGTTTTTAGAGAATTCCCAGAGTGCCAAGGCAGAGGTGGCACAAGTCCCCTGAGCCTGGAGGCCACCAGTGCTGCTCTGTGCCACCAGCCCCTGGGCCAGAGAGTCCCGTGGCTGGGAAAACAGGACACAGAGGGATGGCAGAAGATCATCTCCCTTCCTTTTCCCTCACTTTCATCCATCTCTCACTGCAGTATTTGGGAGGAAGAAAATCACAAGATTTTCAGTCCAAGCTCTTTTGCTGAAGCAACTCAGTTGGCTGAGCAGTCATCCCAGAGGGCTGAGGGCAACTGTCCCCTCTGTTGGTGCAGGGGGGAGGTGACAGCTGAGATGAAGAGCTTCTGACCAGCCACTCTCAATCAAAAGCCATCTTCTCCTCAGGGGCAAGAGGAAAGCACAGAAGAAGCCACCAGGCTCCACTTGAGATTGCAGTGATCCCAAAACTCCAGGACTGAGGCACAAGAGAGCACTGAAAAACTTCCTTACACCCTTCTATGCTCAGAGCTTCCTTCAGTTAAACAACAGAAGCCTCTATTCCCAGTTACACCATGACTTCATTTTTCCATCTGAAGTAGCTAACTGTTGCTTCAAGAAAAATATCAAAAATTGCTAAGTTTTCATTCAGAAAACAGCTAGTCTTGGGCAGAGAAACAAACCCCTTCTAACACCAGAATGATGGTCTACTGGTATTTCCCTAAAATAGCAGCAGCTATTTGTGTGCAGCTTGTCTGTAACAAAGATGTTGGTATAATAAACCCTCCTTGCCAACACCATTCTTTTCAACGTTGCCTTTCCAGCTCTGGAGGCACTGGCTGCTTTCACAGCCAAGTTTGCCACTGCTATGGAAAACAGGCTGCACATGCAAGCCAGCTGAAGTCATCCAGACTGAAAAGGGCCCAGGCTGCTGCTGCTACCACTGTAAAAATGTTATTTGGAAACCATCTTCTCAGAGAGCTGTATAAGGAATCAAAAATCTGTGGTAGGGATGCAGGCTTGGTGCTTTCCCATTTTTTAGCAGTGACGAACACAACAAAGCTCTTATCTCAAAATAAAACATTTCTGCCCCTTACAAAGGCACATCAGCAGGCAGGGCAGAGTGGCCTTATATAGCTGGGCTGGCAATGTCCTGCTCACCACTGCATGTGAGCACCTTCTGGCACTGTGCTCTCAGAACCCAGCCAGTGTGCAGGGCAGGGAGAGCTCTGCCCAGCCTTCCTCTTCCTCAGCTGGGAGGCAGAGGGATGGCTCTCCATTCCTAAGAGGGGTTGTGCACAGGGAACAAGAACAGCACAGAGACAAGGCCAAAATCACAAAAAATACCCCCAAGGAGTAAATCACTTTACACCTAGGCTAGAAATAATGTAGTAATTAGTCAAACAGAGGTAAATGACACACAAGAATTACAAGATTCTCAGTGTCTAAGGGAACATAAAAGCTTCTTTTAGAGGCAGAGCAACACAAACCATTTCCTCCACAGATTTGTCCCTTCTGTGTTGCTGTTTGCTGTCTTACAAGGGCTGAGTTTGTAACTTCCAGGGCAGATGTTGGGTCTCCCTATGATACCCAGCTGTCTGTTTGCATAAGATTTGATGGAATCCAAAAATCCAGTACTTTCAGGATGGTTCCTGTTAGCACTCAAACAACAATTAAATACAGGGAGAAAGGAATATTTCCATTTCCTTAAGATGCTTCACAGCATAAACTGCTTCAGATAAAAGGACAGTCAGTTTAATTAAGTTTTTGTTTCTTGAGCCTCAGAAAAAATATCATTTTTCAACAGCACAACTTGAAATTTCATCTTAACTAGAAAAATAAACTTGTCAATACTTGTGCCAATTCTTAGAGACATTCTCCAGAGTCCTTCCCATAAGTGCTTTTTGATAAATATTTTATCTACCCTGCACCTCACTGCACATTTCATGGCACGAGACCTTGTGAAAATGTCACTACTGCAGGCAATCAAATGAGACATAAACAGCAGTTTTATCCAGAGTTTTTTCCCATGTGAGTTTTCTCTACAAGGTAAAAGCAGATTAGGCAGCACCAGACTTGCACTGTTCCTCTGCTCCAGCTGACTATGACAGTATTTCATTGAGTCATAATATAATACCAGATATGCTTCGTTTGCTTTTTGGGATCCAAAACCAGTGCTCAAGTTTAGGTGACCTCAGATTTAGGCAAATCTGAAGAAATTTAAGTACTGCAGAAAAATTGTAGTCAAAGCTTTCATCACTCGCTTCTCTTTTTTGGTAAATTCCTACAAAGCCCAGTGACAAAATATTGCTTTCACCCAGAACACAGGAATTCCTGAGGAGTTCTGGACCATCTTAGGGCTTCAGGTTCTGGGACAGCTCATTTCTCATTCACTATTGGTACAAAACATCAAAAATCCCTGTTCTAGCTGAAGTCTATATTCCAACCAAGACATTGGGTATGACAATGAGAGGTGCAAAGCACATTTGAACATCTCCATGCTTTGCAGATCCCTATCAGAAATGCTGACTTGAATGCTCAGGACAATAATAAAATTCCAAGTGAATCTATTGGAGGTATTGGCATCTGTTTGATACTTGGTACATCTTTATGAAGAAACAAATTTCTTACCTTTAGGAAAACGAACCTTTTCAAAATCTTGAAAATTAAGTAACCCCAATATAAATGCAAGCCTTGGAGGGTTAATAGCATCCCATTGAATAAAAAATATGCTATGACAGGAGTGGTGGAGTAGTAGGTAGGCTGATATAGTGTGGCACGAAGAATCCTAAAAAATAAAGATCATTGTTATGGTGCAAGATCTCTTCCTTATGCTATTTACACTTATTTCCAATCTCATATTCCAAGCTGATTAATATTAAAAAGCTCTGCAAAGATGGTAGATTAATTAACAAGCCCTGCCTTAACTAGATTCTGCATCTCCCTTGAAATACAGACTTCAGAAGATGAGAAATTCAAGTCAGGCATGGAAGTACTCTAAGTGAGGTTAGAAAAAGTCCCTGTTTTTCAGATCTCCATCTCTGGGTGGTCTAGATACTGTGCAACTCAGAGCTTGCCTATGCCTTTTTTAGTGCAAATTCTCTCTAATATGAAATCCACACTCCAGAGAAAATCCTACAGGCTTTGCAACAGGGCTTTTTGTTAATTAACATATGTTTTGTCCATCTTCAGACTTCACTACTTCTGTATTATTTGGGGCTTTTTGAGTCCCTTTAATCTCATCGTGTTTCACTTCCAAGCTCAAGAACGGAAGAACAAGAAACTCAGTGAAGCAAAATGATTGCAGATCACTTGTACAGTTAATTAAAAAAGCAACAATAAAGTAAAAGACATCAGCATTTCTGAAAGAAAATACTACAGGAAATTAAAGCCTTATGTTGATCAATGTTCAGAACTATTAATTTAACCAGCTTGAGTCTCTAAGGGTTTGTCCATGTGCAGGGAGGGGCAAATTAGAGCTGTGAATGTGAAACACATTAAACACTTTTTAAAAGATAAACATGTTAAGCACCCATGTGGATACTCCAAAGCAGATTAAATCACAGCACTCCAAAGGCATGCAAGTATTTAGCAAGTTAAGATTTATTTGTGCTGACTTCATAAATTAATTGGTTCACCTAAACCTCTCTGAGTGCTCCTCATGTGAGTGAGGTGAGGCACTACCCAAGGACTGGGTAGCAGAAAGAAGGCTCTAAAAAATTAACTACAGTCATGTACTCTGACTTTGCAGCTACAGCAGAAAGGGTGGAATGAAAAGTAAAAGGATTTATCTTAGTTAAGGGGCTCAGTCCCCTTGAAAAAGCAGGGGCTTGTAGCATTTAACTACTATTTACAAACCAAGTTACATAACACGTAAAAGGTTTTATTTATGTTAAAGAGGCTCATTTAAAATTATTTTTACATAATTTTTAAAGAAAATGGCAGTTTTTGTCAATTTTCTCACTAGCAGAATTTTCAAGTCCAGTTCATTCCTTTCCTTTTTCCATCATGAGCAACACTAAACTTTCAGGGGGAGTGGGAATGAAGTAAAAGCCTGGGACTGGATTAAATATTGCTTACCAGAAGGGGAACAGAATCATCCTGGTGATGAAGAATGCAATAGAGAAGATGATGAACAGTATGTTGCAAGTTTTCTCCCAGCGAGCATAATTAAACATTTTGGCTGCCTGCAGTGGATAAAAACCCAAACATTTTATAAATATTCTCTGAAATAAATTCTGATTTCATAAATAAAGACTCATCTTCCACCTAAGCAGGAAGAGTATTTCCTCCCAGTTTGACATGCAAAGCAATCATTTTACTGATACCTAATAAAGCAGCATCAGACCAGATCCTTTGTTTATATTTCTCTTTTTATCTTGAAGGAAAGGACTCTGCATCAAAGGCCTAAAGAACAACTCCCAGACCAGAATATAAAGTGTCATGGAAACACCAAGTGCTCTTTAGAACAGAGATAATTCCTCATTTTTCCACCAGATTGCAAACAGACTGAATTCCAAGAGAAGCTGCTGCTACACCTGCACATTCAGGAGACCCCTTAAACGCAGGTGTTCTGGGACATGCCTGTTACTGAGCCTCCTCAGGGCCTAATTCAGCTCCTGTCTTCTCCCTTTTGAGAGCAGATCCCAGGGCTAGTTTCTGTCCCACTAATAAGGGCAGTAAGTGCTGCTTCTCCCCTGAATGAGCTGTCCAGCTGCCCCTGCTCCATTAGGAACCACCCTGGGCAAAGTTTTCAAGTGGGAGCAAAGCTGAAGGAGCCAAGCCTAAGTTTTAAACAGCAGCTTGATTAACTTCTTTTCTTTTCCTCCTCCTTTTGAGTGGCAGGGCTGGATTAAATTGTTCTGGTAATCAACTCCAGTTTCCATCCAAGTGCTGTCCTACCAGTTGTCAACTCAACTCTTTGTAAGGCCACAGAATTAATTTGACCTAGGAGCAATTCAGGATTAAAAGCAAGCCAGCAAGAAAATTTATTTAATCTGGACCAATCCCAAGTGCACAACCCCACAATTAGTTGTTCTGATAAGTGAGAGTATCAGGAACAGAAATGGACAGTGACACACAACAGCCTGCAAGGGCTGCTCACACTGGCACTGCCACCAAAAGAGGTGATGAAACTGTGCCCTCAAACCTGGTGTTATAAACTCGGGGTAATTCTAGTGAAGGAATACTGTGTTTGTCTTCCAAGAAACCCAGAAGCCACTCTGGTCACAGTGCTCTGTGCAGAGCAGGACACTTCCTAAACACTTCTACTGATTTAGTGCAGGGAAGGGACTTTCCCTTCAGTCCAGGAGAAGAAACTTTTCTTCTGCCAGAAAATACCTGATACAGGCTGCACTTGATATCAGAGGTCTTTTCCAACCTCAGTGATTCTGTGATGCTGGGAACAACCTGGTCTAATTTTATCAGTGAATCAAGAATAACCAGGAAAGCAGCTTTATTTCCAGTCCCTGTTCTGAGGAAATTCTCTACTGCTCCTTTCTCATAATGTATTCTGTAACAAAGTATCAGCTTAAATTACCTAGAAGCACTTTTTCAGCTTACAAGTTACAAATCTGCAAAGCTGTGTCCCTGTGGGGATAGGAAGGGATCGTATGAAACTCGTGGCAGAAGGATTGAAATGTCACTGACACCAAAACCAAAAAACTCAGGACAGAAAAAAAATTAAAAAAAATTTAAAAAACCCAAAACACCAAACAGCTGGATAGCAGAGCTACCTCGAGCCAGAAATCCGCAGTGTCGTGCACGAAGATCACCAGGGTTCCAAGCCGCACGTAATTGCCACACCAAGAGCCGCTCATCAACCCGATGGCTGCCAGGTGATGAACGACGTGAGCCGTGAAATCCTGCAGGGACACAAGCGAACCAAGGTGAAGGCCAGCCCCGGAGGGTGCCAGGCTCGGGCTGATCCAGCCCGGGGCTCCCGGCGGGTGCCAGGCTCGGGCTGATGCTGCCCTGGGCGGGATGCAGGTGCCAGGCTCGGGCTGATGCTGTGCCCGGGAGGGATGCAGGTGCCAGACCCGGACTGATGCTGCCCTGGGCGGGATGCAGGTGCCAGGCTCGGGCTGATCCAGCCCCGGGCTCCCGGCGGGTGCCAGACCCGGGCTGATGCTGCCCTGAGAGGGATGCAGGTGCCAGACCCGGGCTGATGCTGCCCTGGGCGGGATGCAGGTGCCAGGCTCGGGCTGATGCTGCCCTGGGAGGGATGCAGGTGCCAGGCCCGGGCTGATGCTGCCCTGGGCTCCCGGCGGGTGCCAGGCCCGGGCTGATGCTGCCCTGGGAGGGATGCAGGTGCCAGACCCGGGCTGATGCTGTGCCCGGGAGGGATGCAGGTGCCAGGCTCGGGCTGATGCTGCCCTGGGCGGGATGCAGGTGCCAGGCCCGGGCTGATGCTGTGCCCGGGAGGGATGCAGGTGCCAGGCTCGGGCTGATGCTGCCCTGGGAGGGATGCAGGTGCCAGACCCGGGCTGATGCTGCCCCGGGAGGGATGCAGGTGCCAGGCTCGGGCTGATGCTGCCCTCGCGTGGCTCCCGGCGCGGCTGCTCCCTGCGAACGCCTTTGCCCGGCTCCCCGAACTACCGACGGGCACAAGCACTTGCCTTGCGTTTGATGTCAATGCCGAGGGTGAATATGAGAGACCAGTAAAAGCCGATCTCGGCCATGTAGTACCAGTACTGGGATGGCAGCAAGGTCTGTGATGAGGAAAAACACAGTTAACTCTGAGAAGAGGAAAAAGGAAATGTCAAGTGAGACTACATCTTTTTTCCTTTCCTGACTTCTGCTCCTCTGGTGAGTCTTGCTTAAAAAATTAAGCTAAATTAAATTCCTGTCCTGGGCTTCATTAAGAAGGATGTTCTGAGAGCCAAGTATGTTAACCTTTGCTCAGCCCAAACTCTCAATTCCCACAGTTCCTCCCCCACCTCTGGATTTTAACATGTTTTTTCTCCACGTTTCTGTCACAGAACTACATGCAGAATACTTCTGCATTTAATTACAAACAACTGCAAATCAACCCCCTCTGTTTTGATGAACAATTAACATAACAAACTGAAATGCCAGTTATTTATGCTGAAACCCTATGGATCTGCCTAGGGGAGAGCAGAGCTTGGCTGCTCCCTTGGGCCAGTACATTTCCCAGGTGTGCACCAGGAGCTGGGAAAACTCAGCTGGGAGGCAGGATTATTTCTATTCCTGGCCCCTGCCTAGGACAGGAATAAGAAGGCAGTGGGATGGGGCAGAGTATTTCAGTCAGAGTGCCTTGAAGCACCTGGGGCCTGGAGCAGGGCAGGGGCTCTGCACTGGGAGCACTGACAACATCTCCAGTGAGTAACTGGTGTCCGGGGGTGGGTGCTGGAGGGGGAAGTTGCAGCACAGGCAGATCCCAGGGAAATCCTGCAACAGTCGGCAGCACTTCCCGAAAAAAGGCAGGAGGATTTGGTGCCACACCTCCTCAGGTGGTGCCCGTGTGGAGGGAAAAGGCTGCTGTAGATTACCCCTTCCATGGGGAAATACCTGGAATGCCTGGAGGCCAGTGGCCCGATGCCAAAAAGCTCACCTGAAACGGATAACCAACCCACGTCTGCCATATGTCGTAAAACCAGGGTTTCTGGGGAAGACACCTCAGTCAGACACTGCTCAGCTCAGCAACAATTATCACCTTAACCCAACATCTTCACTACTTAAAACCTCTCTAAGTGGAGCAGGCTAAGAAGCTGTAATCTTGATAACTGTTCTCCACCAATTTCTAAAGGCAACTTACATCTCAGATTTATTATATTGTTCCCAGCCTTTTGGCTTCTTTTCAGGACACCTGAAACGTTCCAGTTCACGATTTCATCATCCAAAGCAGTGGGTGTGTGTTTTATTACTGCAATTACTCAAGATATGTTGCCACAGTGATTAAATTTGCTGTGTTTACCAGTCACACAGCGCAGTGGATGAGGATGATAAGCAGTGTTTGGGGAGAAGGCCAGATGAGCAGAGACAGGCCGGGATCTGTTCCGCTGCTCTGGGGAAGCATTAATGACACTCCAGGCAGGGCTCACGGACGCATGAGCACCAATCTCTGTTATTCCCAACTTCTGACTCAGCAGCAACACCTCAATAAATAGCTGTGACCATCAAAAGTCCTGCCAAAAAAGGTTTATGGTGTCCTCTGAGGAAAACATGGCCATGTGATGCATTTGTAGGTGTTAACAAGGCATGTTGTAAAACCATCTGCGTGACTTCTTCAAGCTTGCCTTAACAATACTGATTACTCATAAATTCCTTTATCATAGAAGGTCTAAAGTTGAACTTAAAAATTAAATCTCAGTGCATATTGCAGCCCATCATCCAGATTACATACAGCAAGATCTGATGCCACAGAGCCATTGAAATCACAGTCTTTCAATGGGATTCAAGAAAATCTAGAAGTATTTTGTTAAAAAGAGAGTATCAATCTTTCAAAAAGTTAACTTACATCATACAGAAATATAAATCCAACAATGGAGGATGTCAGATAAAATGAAAATCGCCAGCTGCAAAATTGAAATGAAAAAAATAGGAACAAATCATTATATTTTGTAAAGATCTTGTTCTAAGCCAGAATTACTGCAAGCCATTGTATGTCATGGACAATCTTCACATAAATGTGACCTTACACTCAATGTTGAGGATGGCCACATATTAACTGTATTTGAATTATTAATACTTAAATATTTAAGGTTTGATTCACTGCTAAATAAGGAAATTCTTTTACATTATCATGATTCAGATATTTTAATTGTCATGATAGTAGTAATTTTCCAGCCAGGCATGAACTGATCAAGAGAATGACCACAAAAAGTGTAATAAACCCCCTAAAAATTAATGTTTGAGAACACAAATCTTTTCCTGGGTTCATTCACTTCATCTCTCTCAACACCAATTGCTGCCAACAGGGGAGCCTTATGAATTATTAGCATCTACTGGGTTAGTTTACATCTTGCTACAAGGTCTCAATTAACTACATAACCTCATCTTTGACTAGGTGTGCCAGAATTTAGCCTGATCTAAGCTTTTTGTAGATTAAATGGATATCCAGCAAGGCAGCTAAACCTTCCAGCTTTGCACCATCAGCCTGCTAAGTCAGCAAAGAGAAAAAGCTCTTGAGCATCTCAGTGAACTGTGCTGCTGCTTTTAGGTGTCAGAGCAGGAGATTTGGAGGCAGCAGTCGGCTCCTGATGACTCTCGGGCCGTGTGGGAGGTATTGTCCCCAGGACAGGGTGTGGCTGCAGCCCCAGCCCAAGCATTCCCACTCCCACCTCTACCGGTGATGGAAAACTCCTTCCTTTCCACTCTTCCCCTGGGCAGGAACAAGCCTGACCTTTCCCCTGAGCAGCTCTGCAAGTCCAGTAGGAAACAGTGCAGGACTCCACAGGCAAAGGGAGGATGTGACACAGGGACAGGCACATGGCCCAGACTTGCTGAGAACTTCCAGAATGAGAGTATTCCAGAGGAGAGCAGCACGCAGCTCCCAGACAGCCCAAACCCACTGAGGAGGACAAAGCACCACAACAACAGTGCACCAATGGATTGAGAGATGTAGAAAATGAGATTGGGGTCTTTGGCAAGTGTTAATGAAGTGCCAAATGAGAGAAGAGGAGGAGAACCTGGGTGGTAAAAGCAGCCCCAGCTTTCTGAGCCCCATATCCTATGGAGGCTGATACACCAGAAGAAAGAATGAGATGTTCAAAGGCTGAGACAGTGTTTTATGAGAAAAACAACAAGCAAAAAAGGACGTGGCATGTTGGAGGTGAGACAAAGTGTGTCACAGCTGAGAAAGAAGTCAGGAAAATAATTATAAAATTGCCACTTGATACACCTGTGATGAACAGCTGTTTTTCTTCTCAACTTTAAACTATCTTCCCTGAGGTGATTTGAAAATAACACTACACAACAAGCACTGCATGAACAGGAAAAGCACAGGGGTCCATGGTGGAAATTGCAGAGTGGAACCCACAAGGAATACCTGGCTCAGAGTTAACCAAGAGATGCTGGAAAACACAACACTGGCATGGGACAGACTTTACACAGCAGCTGCTTCTGCCCTCCTGCCTCCCATTCCAAACAAGGAGGTGTGAGTGGTCAGTGGAGATGGCAGAATTGATTCTGTGTTGGTTGTAATGTGCAAGTGGGCTTTTCTGAATAGGATTCAAAGCACAGAGCACCTACAAGACTGTGCCATTAATCCCCAGCCCTACAAATATATATTGAATGCATTTGGCAATAAACAGCACTTCAGATGAACTCATTCTGTGTGCAAGGCTGCCAGAGCACTGCCTCATTTTGCACTGAGCCCAGCTTCTTTATGAATTTGGTGAATAAAACCTGAATTAAAACTTCACCAAATTCAAAAATTCACCAAATTTTACTCAAGTGCCTTTTAAACTCTGATCCTGGCCACCAGAGAGAGCACTGAACAAGAGCTGTGCAGGAGGATTTTCTGGTTTAACTTCAGGAATCTTTTCTCTTGAAGTGAATGTAACAAAAAATAACTTGGTAGGGGAAGTTAAAGGCTGGTAAATCTTACAAGGCAGTGAAGTTTCATGCAAAGGGCTTTCCAAACGCCAGGGTTGCTTAACTAAGGGAGTACTAATAGCAGAAGTCTGGTTTAGATCTGGCTCATCAGATTTTCCTTGTGATTCAGAAAAAAGATCCTGGAGATTGCAGGCTTTCAAAAAAATTTCATAAGGCTCATAACACTGACTACTAGAGTGGAATGACTCTGTTCCTCATTTCTTTGACTACAGAATTATATTCAATTAAATTCACTGACAAAGAGCAGAGCAAGGTTCACAAAATTGCACAAGAGAAACCTGTTTGCTTCATTCTCACTCAAGCTGCCAAGCAAGTTGGAATTTCAGTCTTTAGCTGTGTGTTACTGGAGACAGGCACACACAGCAGGCAGACCTTTTAGCAATAGCAGGAAATCTTATTGTCACTTGTGAAACCAAATGAACTGATCCCCAAAACAACAGCAGACAAATCATGTCAGGAGAGTTTACTCAGCTCAGACTTCAAAGAGACACACCTCTGTCTATCATCTGGATTTATGTCTGACAGAGGACACCACTAAATCATCATCACATTGATTAGCACTGGAAATAATCTTGATAAAGTACTCAACTTTGAGCTCTGGACTGTATTTTTAACCCTCATCCCTTAAGCTGATCTACAGTTACAGAGGTTCAATATTATAATCAGGTGAAGTTTTGCCAATGTAATTATGCTAATGAAAAGCCAAATACACAGAGCATTTGAAAGTGCTTTACACTGGTACAGTTAATGCAGTACCCAAAAGGGATGAGCTGTGCCCATTTGGGGATTTGCAATTTGTGTGAGATTTTAGATCACACTTAAAGTATTTAGGTATGAGGAAGTTCTCACACATAAGTGAAAAATCATATGCAGGAGGTTTTGAAACTTCTTACATATTCATTACTACCACTCAAAGCTGCTCACTGGCCCACTCTCAGCAGTGAGTCTGAGTTCCTGTTTCACACAGTATCCCATGACCAAGCTGTAGCACCTGTCCTTCAGTCTGGATGCCACAATTCCTGCTCCTGAACTGACTTTGGTACACATGACAGCATCCCAAAATGACAGCATAGGTACAAACACATTGTTGTTCCCCTCCGATTACTGGCAGACAGAAAAAGATTTCCCTGTTCTCTGCATGTTTTCATCTTAGACTTTGTACCAGGAGCCTACAAATCCATTATTCCACAAAGAAACTGTAAAATATTTTAAGGTGTTTTCTTTTTTCCCCAGGAGAACAGTTAACCTAAACTTTTAACCATCATTTGAGAAATGCTACTAAATAATTTCAGCTTGTTTGGGCATTCAGAAACCAAAACCCCCATCAGGCAGACCCAGCCTTCTGGAGAGGGGGAACCTCAAGCACTTTTCTCCAAAAGCAATGATAACCAAAAGCATTGTCTTTCCTTACAAAGCTTCCTGGAATTTCCGGAGCACGGTTGGGATCTCCAGGTTTCGCCGTCTCCTGAACCATTTCTCCACCAAATGGACTGTGCAGTTGCACTTTTTGGCAAGGCCTTTGATCTCTGACTGCAAGAAATGGAACAGTGTTAGCAGTAGATGCACTCCAATGTAAGTTTCATTTATTTTGTAGTTCACAGAGCAGCTTCCCACTGTTGCAAGGTCTTAATTTAAAAATATTACCAATATTAAATATGCATGGGAGGGTATTTTTGAGTAATGCTCAGAGAAACCCTGGATTTTTATTTATGTAAATAATGCAGGCACAAAATGAACAGACTCACAAACTCTTTTATTGTCTTTGTGGTCACTCTTGAGAGTTTCAGAGATGCAACTTTTACTGTTGGATGAGAGCTTAGGCTGGAGGGGGAAGTGCCATGATTGAACAGACATGGACATGGCACCTAATATCTTACCTAATCATAAATATTAAAATTTGTTTATCTATAAGTCTCACAGATTAAAAGTGGCCTGGAATTAAAGTGACCTGAGCCCTGTTCTCAAATCCAAAGCAAGACAATGATCCTGAGCAAGTTGCAGAGTGTCCCCTTCCAACACCAGAACTAAACTGGGGGTGGAGCAGGGCCCAGAACTGCACTTGGCCATGGGGGTGCCACATTTGGGGTCTCTGGATGCCTTCTGCTCCCAAGGTGGCCAGGCCAGCACAAGGCAGTGACACTCCTGCATTTTGGGGAGCTCAGTGCCCCACATGCAGCAGCCTGTGGGCTTCCTCCCTCTCCTCCATCCCCAAGTGCAGAAGTGTGGGATGACCTCCCAGGGCTGCCTCAGGAGCAAGGAGAGTTTGGCTCATCCCTGGGGAAGTTCTTTCCTCCCAAGGGAAGTATGCAAATAGTGGGTGGCAGTAGCTGCCTCCACCAGGTGAGGCCAGGCCAGGGAGTCTCCTACCCTCAGGGAAACCTCTGGAATGTGAGAAAAGGCACCTGAGCTGCCAGGGAGGCTGGAGAGCAAACAGCCACTGTGTCCAGCCCACCCTGCTGGCTCCCAGCTCTCCACTTGCCACACAGGAATTGTGACTCTTTCCATACAGCAGAGCCCACATGCCCTCAGCTGCCAGCCAGGCTTTCCCAGGCACACTGGTCCCCAAGCTGGACACCTAAAGGAGGCAGCTTGAATCTTTCCCATGCTCTGAGGAGTCTAAAAATGCTGTGCTTCCTTTCAGAAACCAAATGTCCAGCTGTACTCAAGCAGAGGGAAGGAATGAAGCTGAGATCGGGATACTTGCCCAGAGAGAGAGAGGAGCTTGTGTGTGAACACCCATGCATTTATTCCTGATGTTATCAGGCAAAAGACATAATAAAAGAATAGCAGACTTAGGGATAGAATGCCAAGTTCCACTACCAATAATTATCAAAATCCCTCGTTACTGGAAAGCAAATATTTATTTTCCAAACTAGTGTAGGAAAGCTGCAATTGTTTGGCAACTGCAGTCAGGTAAGTGAACTTCCTGAGGCAGCACTCACAGCAAAGTACCTGCCTCCCATAAAACAATCAATGGCCTCATTTCGCAGGTGACAAGTATTGGCTAGTCTTTTTTCCTTGTTCAATTTTAAAAACAAGCAAAAAATTGTTTTTCTTTCTCACATAAGCCAGGATTATGTATGCAGTAACACAACGGATCAAAAGGCTTCCATGCCAGCATTCCTGCAGAAAATGCAATCCTGCTTTCCAACAACAGACATCAGCTGAAGCTTTCTCCAGGCAGAATGAGTTAAAGATGGAACACTAATCTTCACTGGAAATATTATTAACAATCTAACCTAGAAGAGTATGCCAGAAAATTAAACATCTTAAACGTATTTTCTGTTTCGGATGCCATATATCCTTGTCAGCAGAACAGCAACAAAAACCCAAATAAATTAAATCATCTGTCAATCAGCTGGAACTCATCCCATGATGTCATAGCTGAGAGCTGATTGAAACAGTAAGAGTGGGATTTTCCAAAAGCAAAACGAGTTTGGAAGAATGAGAATCCTTACTTGGGATGGTTGTCTTGAGCACTCCCGGAAATAACTCTCTAACACAGGATTAGGCTGTGGCTTCACACGTCTTACATTCTTTATACCCAAGGCTTTTGCTAAAGGTATAGCAACATATCTGAAAAGACACAGCATGAAAAGCTTTAGAAATACAACACAGTTACAAGACCATGGCTGTTCTCATGCCAGGATACAAAGAAAACAAATCTGATGCAGTTCAATCTGCCACAGAATGCACCAGTGCACTGAGAAAAAGGGATCTCCCCTAGCTAATCCCGAGAGGGAACCACAATTTATCAGCTGTTATACAATAAAGAAGACCCAAGGAATGCAGTTTGTGGCCATGAAATGCTGTTAAACTCAAGGAAACATCCTGACTTTGAGGACTGTTGGAGTTGAGTGAAGGGACACCAGATGCTCTCTCCATGTGAGCCCAGGGACTGCTGCTGGGCAACTTCCTCCCAGTGGCAAAGTCACCTGGCACCTTCTTCACTGATCCACACTGGATCCAACCTGTGGCACACAGCCATTCCCTGAGACTGATGCATTCTCTTTCCCTTCCCTTTTCCACCCCAAATTGCTGCAGTGCTCCAAAGGTTTCACCTTCCTGCTTGGGCAGGGAGTTGAGGAAAGGCCCCTCCCTCCTGCTGTATCAGCCATGGATTCCTCATTGCTCAGAGCAGTGGTCAGCTTTCCCCAGACTCACTGCAGCCAGATGTGTGGGCTAATTACCCTCAGCACTGCAGTGAGACACACTGGGAATGGTTATGAACATATGATCCAAATTACTTTTGATTTCCATCATGAATGATCTTATCTGCTTCTGGTTTAAGTCTGTCCAACTTACGACATTGCAAATTTCCTCATTCTGTCCTGAAATAATTATAAAAACCTACTAATCACATCTTTTAGAGGAAAAAGGAAAAAATAGTAAAGCAAAAAAGGTACAAATAAATAAGTCAAAACCCTGCAAATCTTAACATGATTGTAGCTTTCTTCTGTGGAGCCAACCTCTGCCTGTCCCCTAAGATTCCAGCTGCAGAAGCAATTCATTTTTTGGTGCCAAAGTGAGGGGGAAAAAAGCAAACAGCTTTACTAGATCTGTATAAAATGTTCACATGAAACTTGGAGATCCCTCCAGTGTGCTTAGCTTGGCCAAAGAGAGACACCTGGGGTCTATCAGCTTTGCACGAGTGTCCTGGTGCAGGACCAAATGAGAGGTTTGGTTGAGAGAACAAATGTCTCTATCCTTCCACTGAAGGAGAAAAAGGAAACCCAAAAGGTTTAGAATGAATCGCATCTTTAGTGAAAGGAGATAATCAGCAGTATCCAAATGCTGTTCCAGAAAAGCTGGATAGAGATATTTCCCTTGTGGATTGGGCCACAGCCACACGTACCTAATAATGAAAACATTTTCCCATTTTTCACCTGCTGTGTTATCTGTACTAGATCTCCCTAATAAACCACCAACAAATTCTCCTTTATAAAACATACCATTGATCTCCAGATGTCTCATTTTCAGCATTAATGAGGACCACCATTAGCCTCAAATGGCATTTGTGTTTCTCACCTTTCAGTGAAGAAGCGGATGATCAGCAGCACAAACGCGTACGGGATCGTGGCGTACAGCTGGTGTGGTTTGGGGAACACGAGGCCATCACGGTCCACAAAATCTGCCCACGTGCAGTTGATGGGCATCCAGATATTCTCCCACCAGAACCACCTGTTGAGTGTCTTTAGTATGTACGCCATGCTGAGTAAATAAAGAGAGAATTTGATTTATTCCTCACTTATTAAAGAGAAAATGCGTGAACAAAACCCATATTGAGGCTTTTTGTGTAAAGTCAGTGTTCTCAGGGGAAAAAAAAATCATACAGGAAATTAAACCCCTCTCGGTTTAGAGCAAGGAGGTGGGATTATAACCCAGCAGAAGATAAAATAATAAAGCCAAATTTTGATCTGATATAAAGCAATACAGGGCCTTTGAAATCTGCACAGGGAGGTGCCTGCTGCCTCCTTCCAGTCACTCGCACTGCCCTACTGAGCACCTGGGCAAATCTGCAACACTCATGTATTATCTATCATATTCACACAATGAGAACTCCTCTTCCTGGGGCTGCCTTTATAAATTAAATATAAGTGGGAGGAAGAGTGGAAAAGAGAAGGTTCAGGGAGTGCCTCAATTCCATAGTAATGAGGACACTGCACTGATGAATTACTGCTGTCTAATATGCTAATGGAAACATACCCTGAATTTGCAAACACCTGTGCACAGGAACAAGTGGGGAAAAAAAATACAGTGCATAGCAAGCTTTTTCTGGCAACTGTGGGAAATTTTATGATTTAACTGCGACCAAAACCTAGATCAGGAACAAATGTCTAAAATCAGTTCTGGAAGGAAAAAAAATTCACTTTGACTAAAGTATTTCATTCTTGTAAAAGCTTCCTTTTTAACTTTTGCAGTCTACATTATATATTTAGAAATTGCTGTTCTCTCTTATTTATTTGTAAGGACTTTAGAGTACAAACATGTTATACATCCTATAAAAATATCCTAACATTGAAGAAAAATAGAAGCTACTATAACATTTTCCATAAGGCTAAAATCCAATTTTTCCATGATTTCTAGGAATAGTAAACTTGAATGACTTTTAACATGCTAAAATTTTCTGTAAACCAGGAAAAACATGAGAAAATAACTGATTTCATTGAAACATAGCCTTGATGAGGAAACAGTTGAGCTGGGAGGATGATTTCAACCAAATCTTTATCTCCCCAGATCTCCCAGCAATACCTCTGTACAGGATCACGAGTTGAGATCAAAGCATGCCAAGGTCAGGCAGCACTTCAGCCCTTGCCATGCTCTTCCAGGGAACACAGGGTTTTAGTTGCTCAGGACACCATGCCCAGAGCATCCCAGACCTGGACTTTAATTAGCACTGGAGCCCACGTTAATTAACAGCCAGACAACCATTGCTGGTCCACACTGGGCTGTTTCCACTAAGCTTGGAGCAGGTTTGTGGAAGTGACCTGCACCCATCAGACAGAGCTGGTTAACAGCACTGCAGATCCATTGACTGGCCAAGCACAGTAGTCAGAATTGAACTATTAATAACCCAGCCATTTAATCTTTTTAAATGCAGGAAGGGGGCAGTAAAAACCTCCTGAATGAACCGTGTGTGTGTGTGTATAAGGAAATGCAAAAATAAAGGAGGGAGAAATCACAATTGTTCCTGAGAGACTTTATATGCCAAGTTCCAGCCTAGAGCAATGTTTTACTGCTGAATTAGAAACTCCTGGAAGTGGGGATTTATGCTGGGGCTGCTAACAGACCCTAAACAGCAGCTTGCAGGCGCCACCCTAATGAAGCAGGGCTTTGAAACATGACATTTTGGGTCAGACAGAAAGGCTTGCAGACAACAGAAGACCAAGGGAGAGCCTTGTTACACAGTCCTGCTTCCTAATATATCTATATTTTTAAACTAGACTGTGCAGTCAAGCTATCCCAAACTGTAATAAAACCAGGCCAGTCTTATGGCACAGTGGAAGGAGCACTCACAGTGCCTTGTGGTGACATGGGCTGGGGCTGAACATGCACCCAAAACATTTAAACCTTAGAAAAGCCCAGTAGTGCATATTTTCTTATTGGATTCCTGAGATCTCACTAATTGATGGCTTTCTTCCACACATGGATGCCTCACCATATGATTACCTCTTAAACTAGTTAATATAGCACTATTAAACTAAGCTCCTAAGTACATGCCTAATCTTAAAATATAAGGGAATTGTGGGATTTGAGGTCTGATCCAGAGTTCACATATTTCAGGGGAAATCTTTGCTCACAATCACTAAACAGATTCATCAAAAGGTGGGTTCTCTGAAACCCTTCCTTCTGTAATCCCTGTATTTGTACCAGGACTGGCCCATGGGGGTCAGACCATCCCTGAGGAACACTGCCCAAGTGATCTGACAAAACCAACAACGAGATTCCAAATCTGTCTGCAGCAGCCTATTCTTAAGTTTCATTACCCTTAAACTGGATGTTTTCACTGCAGCAAATCAGCCCATTCCCTGGGAAACCTTGGAGATCTCCATCTTCATAACAGCAGCAGTGAAATAGTTGGGCTGCTTTCCTGCCTCCCTTCAGCCCTCATCACGAGGCTCCTGGAGCAGTGGGAGGTGAGGAATTCCTTACAAACACTGGCAGGAGCAAGGGGACAGCTCTGGCCACCAGTCCCAGTGCTGGGATCAGGCTGGAGATGCTGGATTTCAGCAGTAGGTGGTTTTTGACTTGCACAAACTGTCACAAGTTTTCTGCCCTGCAAATGCTGCTTTCAAAGAACGGGCAGCAGATGCAAAGGTCAAGCTTGGCCTGATTTGGGACCAGACCTAACTAAAAACTTAAAATCCTACCCAGCCTAAACCTCCTACTGCTGAGTGCTGAGCTCAGAGCTTCTCCTCACAGCCTGTGGCAGCACCAAGCAAGCAGGAGTGAGAAATCCAGCAGTGAGTGACTCATTGTGCCCAGCCTAGGGTGAAAAACCTCTGCCTCCTCCCAGATCCCTGTCCAGAGACCAGCACTGCCAGGAGCATTTGCATTGAAAAAACTGGAATCCTTGCTCTGGAACAGGCTAAAAGTCAGTCAAAAATAAAGGTATTTTTAAAAAACTGAAGATCTTCTGCATCTCAGAGATTAAATACTCCCAGTAAAGAAATCAAATCACCTCCCTGTTATGGAAGGATCACCTCTGCAGTTCAATCTTGTTTTAATGGGCTAATGCAAAACAGGAAAATCAGGAATGATTACTTCAGGAACTGCATCCTTTATAATTAAGGGAAAGCCCACACAGTTGGCAAGTACCAATGTGAAGTTTCTTTCAAAGTGCTTTTTCTTAGATCCTGGATATATTCAATATAAAAACCCCTCATATTTTTAATGATATTAAGAAAAGGAAAAAAAAAAAGGAGGGGGGGGAAATTTGAGGTTGACAAAAGCTGTATGGCTGCATTTTGCAAAACAAATTCAGGAGCTGCTTTGAAGTGGAATTTCTGCTGCCGCAGTCTGAGGAATTAATAAAAAGAAACTGAGCCAAAGCTTTGATTGTATTGTCTGTACAAAAGCTCTTGCTTGAAAACTGCATTTCCAAAGCCAGGACTAAGAGAAGGAAATATCCAGGTTTGCAGGATGTATTAGGAGGATTTCCTATCCTTATTTACTGAATAAATTACAAAACCCCATGGATAAACAACACAAACACACAAGTGAATGTAACCTTAATCCTCCCAAGCATCCCCTTAGTCTCCTCAGTGAGGCTCCAGAGGTGTAACAGGGAAAGACTGAAATCAGCAAAAAGAAGAACATAATTCTCCTATTCCCCTCAATTTGGCAGAACTGGCAAAGCTGGTGCAGTGACTGTTGGGAAAAATCAAGCCTCAGATATGAAAACAGATAGCACAGCTGTTCCAGGCTGCTTATCCTCAACATGAAATAAAAGTGGTTTAAAAGAGCAAATAAAGATCAGATCCACCATATCACAGGCTTTGGTATTGCTCAAGACTCAGCAATGTTTCCAGGAGTTAACACACAAGTTTCAGCTGCAGATTTGTGTCCTATTACAAACAGGCTTTTTTTTTTCTTTTCTTTTTGACAGTGTGTGAAGATTCCCAACTGCATCTACCACCATGAACCAGCTGAGCAGAGATGGGCCCTGTGCTTTGTGGAGGAGGGGACTGAAGGCAGGATGCTGGATTGATGCTGCCACTTCTTTGCATCCTGTTTTACCTTGTTTGTGCCAGTGGGAAAACAGGATTCCAGCTGAATTCTGCACAACCTGAGGCAGGGGTGGCTGACACCTCTCCCAGCCCACACAGCAGCAGGGGCAGCACAGAATAAAGGAGCTGCTGGACTCAGAGTTTCTTACAATGAAACCCCAAAATACTGAATTCAAACAGCTGAATTAAGATTGCTATGAGACCTTTAACTTCAATTTACTCTCTGGCTTGTACAAATCTCAAATGTAAACACTTTAAGTGCCTCATTACAGGGCAATTGCAGCATTTTACTTTTTACTGTTCTTTCACATTGCCCTGTAACTTGGCTACTATACTGAGCAGGCAAAAATAGCACTTTGAATAAATCTCAATTAAGGTGCCAAGTGAGTTTTTACTTTTCCATGTTCTCTGGGAGGAAAACAAAACCACAAAAAAGTGAACCAGACTTCTTTGAAATAATTCATTTTCTGGGTGAAAGTCACCATGCTTTCTCCCTACTTAAAGGCAAATCATTTTTGAGCAGCTAAAATGTTTTAGGCGATGGCAGGCTGCTAAGGAAAGTGAAATATAGTTCTCTCACTGTACAGTTACAATGCAAACTATGTCCACTTTTGAGCTTTAAAAATCCATAACATGAACAGAGTGGAATAAAGAGCCATGAAATAACTCAAGTAACTGCAACAATTTTGAGATAAAAAGTAGTTGTTGGAAAACAACCTAACCCTATCCAAGCTAGAGATTCATAATAGATGATTAAATCACAAAAAGTTTGAACAAACCTGAAGGAACAACTCTTGTTGCTTTGAGAACTTAGAAACACTTATCAGAATGTAAAGGAAAATCTTTCAAATTATGAGACTTTTCTTCAAATTTTTACTATTAGGGAAAGATGGAAAAAAATAATTTTATTTTTTTTTTTAGCTCACCAAAGCTTTGTTTGAAAGTCTAGCTTAAAATGCCAAGCTAAGCTTAAAATGCTAA